ACTCATCTGCACAGACTTCTCACATTCGGATGCATAAAGCGCTTCACATCCCATCCTCCCGTTCCTCCCCCACCGCTCCCAACCCTTCAACGCGTTTTCCTTCTGGCCTTGCTCCTTCCACACACTGTGCATTATATGGTATGAAGCATTCTTTGTCTAGACTGTCTGAGCGCGACTCACCTTGACCGTAACTTCCAAGGCTTGGACAACATAGTCAGACCAAATACAAGATGCGTACACCGTTGTCGATGAGCGTGTGCGCGCGGAACTGACCGAGCCATCTGCGTAGCAGCGAAACGTCAAAAGCCGGTCACAATCATCGCCGCGTGCGAGTCGAACGCATCCAAGGCACGTTAACTGCTGCCGTTTGTTGGCAAAGTTGCGCGTGCGCATCAAGGTGCGTCCGAGGCGCCACTTTCGTGGTACGCATTCTCACTTTCGTCTCTCATCGCGCGTCGCCTCGGACTCTCATCCTCCGTTTGCTTTTCGCCCAACAATGGCCAAGGCGCAGGAAACGACGAACTTCGCGTTCAGACCACCTTCCTCCATGTTGGTAGGCTCAAGCCTGTGCTGCAGTCAAAAAAAACGTGAGCACGTTCATTTGAGATCGGACCGTCGGATTGTCACTCACTACCCATGGCAAGCGGCGCCTTCCGATGGATCAAGCTCACGGTCGATATCGAAGATGTTGCGCTGGACGCGGGGCTTTAACGAACAAGGTAAGTTGTTTGGACTAATCCCAGATCTCGCACGGCAGTTGACCTGGTGGCCTACAGCAACCTAAAGTGAATGTCAGGGAACGCGGTCATCAAAACCCAGCTCGGACCTCTATACCACACGCGAAACACGAGACGCTCTCCTAGATCGTCCCACCGTCTGCGGCAGGTCATGGTCGGCCTCTGCGGCCAGCGAGTCCACCGTCGCAGCTTCTATTGCTCGAATATCGCTTGAAGTGCGCCGGAATAGCCCTGTTGCATCAGACAGCATCGGATGCAGGTAATTCTGAGACGGTCAGGTGTGATCTCCGACCGGTCGCTGGATAGTGGCACGCTGGATACAGGATGCCTATGGGACGACGACAATGGATGGCGGGATGCGACGCTCACAGCCTTAAGCCCTGTCGTGAAAGCGCCAGTCCTACGCGTGTTCTGGCGAAGGAGACTGCGTGAAATGATGGCTTTGGCATGCGGTAGGCCATCCCCCCGTTTCTCTTGCGCACTTCTTTGATCATGCTGTC